TGATGCTAGCGAATTCCAGTCTTTTTTTTTAGCATCTGGGACAAAGGTTGTCTAATTGAATTTTGAAAGGCTGTGGCACCAAGATGTTGAGCTAAGTGTCGAGTTGATGATGATGGTTCTTTCTCCATTATTGTTTTGATAGGGGTGATGCTTTTGGGCATCCTTTTTTTTTTTTTTAAAATCTTCATCCCACTGTGTCATCAGCCATTGAACCTGTTTATTTAAACTTGGCAACTAATTCTTGTAACATACTTGAAGATGGCTCAGGCCTATTTTTAAAAGCACCAGACCACTTCTAGAGGGTTTCAGCAGGTCTCTGGTAATAAAGATAACATGTTTTAACTAAAAAACTACCGGAATTTTTCGAAACTAACGGAATTGATTTTGCTGGACCACTCTACGTAAAAAATAATAACTCTGTTACTAAAGCTTACATTGTCATCTTCACATGTGCTACAACTTAAGCTATCCACTTATTATTAGTTTCCGATCTGCGTACTGACGTCTTCCTACTTGCATTACAACGTTTTGTCTCTAGACGTTCACTTCCTCATTAAGTGTACACTGATAATGACACAACTTTCTGCGCTGCGGACAAAGAGCTGAGTTTTGGGGGATACGATATCTCTGCCAAGGCACAACAGTTTTATGCCCACTCAACATAAAAGGAAATTCATCGCCTCCCGAGCGGGCTTGGTGGGGAGGATGGTGGGAAGAATGATAGGCTCAATTAAGCGATGCCTTCGGAAAACTTAGATAAGGCTCTTTTGGATGACGCTGGTTTGATCACTGTATTATGTGATATTGAAGCCGCTCTAACAGTACCGATTGTCCACGAATATGGAATATAAAGATGACTCTGAGGAAGCTTTAACACCCTCACACTTCCTCATAGGAAAGAAATTAACTACTATTCCTTCTAGCTCACAATCCTGAAACAAATTTAAATCATATGTGGAAAAATCGTCAACATTTGATGGACTCCTTTTGGAAAAGATGGCAAAAGGAATATTTGATGGACTGCGTACATTTCATCAAGTGTGGAATCCATCTGAAACAATAAAATACGGAAAGGGGACATTGTCCTACTACAAGAAGATGTTAGACCTCGCCACACCTGGAAAAAGCCCCGTGTTGAGGAGCTAATCCTTGGCCACGACAAAAAAGTCTGTACTTGTGTTCTGCACACCAATGGACATACCATTACCCGACCTGTGCAGCTGGTCATCCCCCTGGAGGTTGACCAGGGTGGGGAGGATGTTGCGGCAAAGCCAGCGAACTATTAAAAATAACATTACCCTTTTTGTTAATGGCATCACTTATGTTTTTGTATTTATAAAATGTGTTTTGCTTGTTCTATACTTCATCTTTATGTTAGGAAATAAATAAGTATAAAATACTATCTCCTAATACATGCTTTTTGATAGAATATTGGTACATTTTGGTGAATATGAAATATTCTTCAAAACTAATTGGAGTCCGTAAATAAATATCACTTGGGTCCCTGCACATGCATGCAAAATTTCATGTCACTAGCTCCACCCACTGAAGAATTATTCAACTAAAAGTTTTGCTATACCCTGTGAAGCACCCTCTATATGCATCCAATCTAAGAAATCTAACTTTGCACTCTTCTTCACCTAACACTTCACACATTCTATAGTTTGATAGATGAAAAGGCAAAGTTCCAGCAATAGTGGTGAAATAAGATCCTAAAAATTTTAAAAGACAGGAGATTTGGGAGAGATGTGATCAAAACGGTGGGGATTCACAATAAAACTCAGAGAGTTGGCCCGTAGAGAAAATAATGATCAAATGGCATCAAGAAAATTAATTTCTGTGTTTGACATTATAATCAGTAGTATCTATTTCATAGTGAGCTTTAACTTTTTTTGTTTTTGTTGTTGCTAAACTTACTTTAAGTTATTTAAACTACCTTGCATTTAAGATATCTGGGGGGGAAGTAAAAAAATTTCTAACAGCAATTAAAATTATTGAAGTTGCTGCTGGTAATTTGTCACAAGGGAAGTTCACAAAAACGTAGTATGTATGTTAGATAGTTGATAATTATAGGACTGTTGATTTATTTCATAAAATGTAAACTGTTTGATAAAAAAATTATTAATCAAAGATAAACAAGGAGGCAGACTTCCTTAAATGAATATTTTATAAGCAGTGAAGGTTTCTGAAAGTATTAAATAAAATTTATAATTTTTTTGAAATACGCAAGATCTAATTTTTGTATTTAAAAGTATTATTTACCTTAAAATATTTCAGAAAAACAATTCCCTTTCCATATTTTACTTTTCATAAAATTATATTGCATTCATAATTTTACTAATACACTCTGTCACAAAAAAATTCAGAAGAAATACGTTCAGAAGAAATCGAGCCACAATAATGAAACTCTGCAGGAATATAGTCTGGTAAGATACATGCAAATGATTAAATTTCGATGCCAAAAAGACAAGGATAAGCGTGATATATGTATCTGGCATGTGCAGCTCAGAGAGTTTAAAAGCATCATTGCTCGTGCCGTACAGCTATTCAAACAAATCTGTCGACTTGGCTGGACGATATTGTGGCTACAGATGCTTGTGAGACATAACCGGCAGAAGTACGAACAAACGCTGATTTTTGTTGTTTGTCTTCTGAATCAGTAGTTGGACTTTGAGAAGGGGCATAAAGTATGACTTAGAGAAGCAGGTTGGTCAAACAGGTATATCAGCTGCCACTTTGGCTGAAGCAATATAATAGTTTCTCGGTATTGGCGACAATGGATTATGAAGGGGATAGTCTACTGTTGCAGAGTGTCAAGGCATCCCAGAAACAATCGTAAGAGCAATTACCTCTGCACCAACAACATTACTAACATCGATTCGATGCTATTTACTACCTTCCAAGCATCCAATGATATCAAGGGAAACCATTTGGAGATGACTGGTGAATGCTGGTCCATTAAGATGCCTACCACTGACACCACATCATAGGCAGTGAAGACTGGATTTTTATTGAACTCGGGCAAGCTGGAGTGCGACCGATTGAAGGCGTGTGAAGGCAACAATGAATTCCAATTCAATCTCAGTGCTGATGACTTTCACAGACGTGTGTGGAGGCGGCCAGGCCAGTATTGCCTATGCTCTCAAGTCTCCCAGATACCATTTAACAGCAAGACAACAGCCTTCCACATACTGTGCGACTCTCCAGTGGTCTGCCAGGTCACCAGACCTCTCGCCAACAAAACATGTTAGTTACGTGCTTGGAAGGCAACTGCAGCCATTCTGAAATATTGGTGAATTAACTGCCCAGTTGCAAAGATTATAGCACGATCTTCCACAGGGGGTCTTAGGTGACTTACTTAATTCAATATTATGCAGTGCTTTGGCTTGTATAGCTGCCAGAAGTGGCTATAATACTTACTGATTTGTAACCTTTTTCGTGCCATAAGTTCTTAATAAAATAAACTTTTGTTCTGAATTCATAATCATTTGTTTTTATCTCCTCATGCACTACATATGTGTTAAGTTTCATGATAGTAGTTTGTCTCCTTCTGGGTGCATATGTATTTTTGCAACAGAGTGTATAATGGCATTGATAAATCTATATTTCACACTTCAATATTTTTCTTTAATCAGCTCCGAGAACCTTGAGTATAAGACAAATCAATAATCACCATCAACAACTATCATTTCTCTTTGATGAACATAATGACATATATTCTTTCGTCACTGAGCACTTTCACAAAAGGATAAAATCATTGATGGTCAAATTAAGATTTATTGTATCATCTGAAATTTACATGAAAACTGGGAAAAAAAAGACTGTATATGTTACAATATAGAAAACAGTAAAATTTCTTCAGTAGCAAAACTTGATTCATTCTTAATAACAAATTAATTACTTCATACAATGATTTTTTAAACTTCTGTTTTCTGGGGTTTTCATTTTCTTAATAATGCATTTTCTAATCTCAGCTTTGTCTCATACTCAAATGACTTTAAATTTGATGAAGATAAATATTTTAAAATACAAATCACTATTTGGTATATTGCTTAGGAAGTGAAAAATAAGAAAACTTCCAATTCGTTTTTGGTTTAATTTGATTTTATTTCTCGACAGAAGGGGAGTTAAATTTGTTAACAGAAGTGGGGTAAGGACAAGAGATGACCCAATTTAATACAAAAGATTTCCTTTAAAAAATAATTTTAACATGGCATAAAGTAAGTTATTCCTAACAGCAATTCAAGTCTTTTATATGATGGTTTTTGTTTACTTCAATTTTTCTGTGCTTCTCTCTCTTTTTTTAACAGTGCTTAATTGGGTCATATATTTTTATTTTTCCAGATGATTAACTTTTTACAAACCAAATCATTGCTTAATATATTGTTAACTATATAAAAAGAAAATATGCTGCAATACTTTTGTCTGCAACTTGATTTTACCTATCAGCTGTGAACATATTTTAATGCATCTTGATAAACACAGTACAAAGTCCGTAATCCGGACTCATCGGGACTTCGGCGATTCCGGATTAGGGTTTTTACCAGATTATAAATCATCAATTTCAATCTTGTAAGATGGCATGCATAAATTTATACAATTAAAAATATTAAACCGTAATTTATGAAATAAAGAGCAATTATGATATAAAGGGTATAAAAATTAAAAAAAAAAAAAAAAGACACTCCTTTCAATGTAAGTTGTTTAAGTTGCTTCATTTTTTGTGTTAATACTTTCTCTTTAATTCTATAAACAAACATAATTTCTTGTTCAGTTACAAAGTTCCACCTATTGGAAGCGGTATTTTAAATTTAAGTTTGTGGCTTTGAGGTCCGGATTATAGATCATTCCAGATAATGGACGTCCGGATTACAGACTTTATACTGTATAATTGATTTCATTAATTTCTAAAAAATAATTTCAGTTTGATAAAATCATTCCTAAGAGTTATTACATAGCTATGCAAGACACTGTATATAAAAATTATATGATTAACTTACTGCACAAAATTCTTGGAATGAAATTTTTCCATCTTCATCCTTATCAGCAAACAAGATAGTTTTGTCAACAATCTGTTGTAGTTGAACATCTTTCAAATTACTACCAACCATCATTTTCAGAACTTGAAACAGTTCACTGTTAGATATGTAGCCATCGTTATCCATATCGTAAATGCGAAAAGCAACTATAATGAAAAAAAGGAAACCATTTTAATACCCACAGTTTGTAATGCATTAAAATAAGGACAAGAAGACAAACTTACAATACATTATCAAAGTTGATTTTCTAAAGCTCTGTTTATTAGTCCCTTTATTGAAAATGTTTCTTGCATATTTCCATACATAAAAATTATATTACACAAAAAGACACGGACCCCCAAAAAAACTTATAATTAAATACTAGGGCATGACATGAATTCTTTAAAATAATTATAATTGTAATATCCAGATTAAGTACCTATTAATTACATTTGGTTCAGATTAATTTAAAGAAGATATAATTCTAATAATAAAATTTTTCATTACTTATATTTCAAAAGGTATAGTAAAATCTCAAATTCACAATGTTTTCAATTTAACACTTGGCTGCACCAGTACAGCCCCAAACACAATAATCCAACAGTAAATTATCTCTGATTATGCAATGGACTTCCTCAACGTTTCTAAAAATTAGGTGTACTGATGAGACATACAAACACACAGGCAAACTCCCAAATCATATTAAAACACTATTTTCCGCAAATCTAATATTTTATACTTTTTGAGTAGAAAAATATTTCTTTTTTAAAAGCTTTCAAGAGAAATACATGTGGTAGTGGTGCACTTATGTGAGTAAAAACATAATCAGACTTGTACCTCAGAACAATGCAAAGCTAAAAGGATTAAGATCATGTTTGCTTTTTATTCTGTGCTTAAACTTTATTGTTTCAAATGAGAAATTCTGTTGAAAATGGACTTAAATAAAAAGAAGAAAATAATTCTAGGTAGGGAAAAAATGATTTATTTATTTATAATTATTTTGTCATATGCAGATAAAAACCTACTACATTCTCAAACTTCTACCGTAAAAATATACTTTCCTTAAATGACTCTTGAAAGTATAATCGAAATGACTGACATTAAAGAAACTAAGGCACATTAAAGAAAAGCTCTATGGAGAAAACAGAAATCCGTAAAGACATTGCTGCGGACAGATCTCAAAGAAACTCTTGATTTTAACAATGAAAAGCCAGCAATCTGCCAATAACTTACTGAATTAAAAAGTTGTGAATCTCACTTAAATCTGCAAATTGAAAGGTGTCCAGCTTGCAATTTAAAGAAAGAGCTTAAAGAATATGTCACAAAGGATAATGCTTCCTGTTAAATTTTCTATGGGATGAAACTAGTTTATTCTTAATTGCTCCTAGTTTCAGAAATTTAATATGTTTATGCTGACTCCGTCAAAAAACTGAAAGAATGGTTTATTTTTCTAACTGTACTGATGGCACTGAAAAGTTTTCAATATTTGCATTAAGAAAATTCACAGAGCAACATTTCTTAAAAAAAATGAAGGTTTTACCAATACCTTTCAAAGCTAAGGCATGAATGACCTCTAATTTGTTTTAGAAGTGTGAAAAAACTTACATGAAATGTACTAAGAAAAAACAGAAATGTTTTAAATGAAATCATTCAGATATTACAGCTATTGGAAAAATGTGAAAATGGTATCTCTATCATAAAACTAATGAATTACTGCTAACCTATGTTGCTGAAGAGGAAAGCTTTTAAGAGGGCAAGATAGGGTGGCAAGCCCCATTTTTAAATTTCAAATCCCATTATCCCAACATCCCAACAACTAGAAAGCAACTCCCCATTTTTAAATATAATTAAACTCTTATTGAAAACACATTGTTAACATTAGAATAATTTGAAAGAATGGCAGCAGCCTAAAATTTAATGTTTCAGAAGCTGTTGGCATAAACAAGCTGCCAAGTTCTCAGCAAGTCAAAAATTAAAATACACAGAGTGATTTGATGTATCTATTGCAGCTGAGAACATGATTTGTATTGGGAACTAGTGGAATATTTTCCCAAAGATAAAAAAATTGCAGTTCAAAATTGAACTAAGCCTCAAACTGTTGAAGAAATTTATTATGAAAAGCCAAATGTATGTAGAACCAACTGATTTACATTTTCTGTATACATGTGGCAACAATTTTGCAAATAGGCTTTTTTTTTGGGGGGGGGAGCACAGTAAAAACTTGACTATCAAGAAAACTCAGAAAATGCTAAATGCTGGATATATGAAAATTTCGGATTGTTGAAAACATAAAAGATGCAGTTTATGGTAGAAAAGCCAAATGAATGGAAAATATTTCAATCTAAAATTATAAAAAGAATCACTTCATTACCAAAAGCCTATTTTTAAAATTATGCAGATTTTGAAAAAAAAAAAAAAAAAAAACTGCATTTCAGATATAAAAACTGACAGATTTTCATAAGGATATAAAACATCTTAACCAGTTAAAAAAAAATCCCATGAATTATGAAAGCTGGCAAAGTTCCCACCAAACTTGTGTCAACCCTACCAGCAGAAGTTTGAAGGAACAGACCAGTCTTTATTAATTAGGTCAGTGGTTCTCAGCCCTTTTTGACCCCATGCACCCTTTTCACCACTGCTAGAGGATCATTCCGCGAGCCTTTCCAAAACTCATAAAATAGATCACATTTGTTTAGATTATTTTTTAGTAAAATATAAGAAAAAAATATAAAAATGTTGAAAATATCAAAGTAGTTTTTTATATTCATTAACTAAACTTAATACTTAACTAAATACTAACAGGTAAATAAAAGGTTGAACCTATCTGACCTCAAACTATGGAATTCCTCTCGGCTGAAACTCCTGAGAGTTAGATAATCATAACATTAGTTACGGATATAGGCCCCCAAAATTTTTTTTAAAAAAGGGAAGCCTGAGAATTTTTCACAATGCATTACCATTGTTTGTCAATTTTCAAATAAAGCCATAAATTGTGCCTATCAACACAAGTTTTGTTGAAGCCTGGATCCTGTAACTTTGATAATACTTCACTGAATGCTGTTCCATAGAAGTCATATCTAATAATTTTTTTTTTTTTTTTTTTTTTTCAGAATGTGAGGGAAAGATAAAAAAAGAACTTCTTTACAAAAACTAAACTGGTTTATCAAGATAATCTGATTTGCATAAAGCAACATGGCAAAGATATTATGATTGTTTGCAATGTCACTCTTATCCGTTATTTATGCTAAATTATGCTATTTGGTTGTTGAAAATGGGAAAAAATAAAAATTGGAAAGATGTATCTGAGAAATGACTAGTTCTAAGGATAATTCTGGGAATAATATGTTGGGTACAATGACAGGAAGTAGAAACATCTTTTGAAAGATTCATGTAAGTGCATTCACATTTTAGATGATATAAGGAGGATTCCTGGCAGTAGTCCTATATGTGCTTTATAACGGCTTTACAAGTCTCTCATTTGCATTATTTTTTGTTTAAAAAAATTCGCAAACTCAAAAATTTTTCCAGTTAGTTCAATGCTGGATAGATTGGCTTTGATTGCAAAATTTTTGTTATGAGCTTAAAACACAAAAAATCTGGAACATTGGCAGCTACAAATAAAAGCTCTCCTTCTTTTATAATATATCATGTTTAAAAGATGGTTTTTCAATTTGATAACCTGAATTTAACAATAAGTTTCAATTGACCCTAAATACTATTAGTAAATTGGCATTTCACAATAATTCAAAGTACTGTATGTGAAAATTTCAAAACAAAAACTTAAATAACATATTTTATACATACATCTCAGTTTGGATTCCTTATCTCCTTTAACACTAAACTGCGACACTCCTTGAATAAACTCTAAATAGCAGAAAGAAAAATATTAAAATGCATAATAAAGCACTAAATATAATTAAAACTGTGCACAGGAATTTTACAAGAATATTTCTCAAGCATTAAGAATCAAAGATAAAAATCCTAAAAATAAAATTCAGATTTATTTTTATTACACTGAATGACGTTCACAGCAAATACTGTTTCATGCTTTTGAATAAAAACATTGTAAAAAATGCTTCTTTATTGTTTTGTAAAATTTTGGCTCCTACAGAATTAGAACACTGTATTTGCTTAAGTGAATTTTACCCCTTTTTCCTAAATTTTATCACCTGTAAATCAAGAGGGGGAAATTATGTAGTGCATACTATTTATGAATACAGGAAAGAACATGAGAAATTGAAAAACATATACTGCATTTTCCACTAATTTTATCATATGAAAATCAAAAGGGAAAGTTATATGAATAACTTAAATTCTGAAAGATATGGTTACAGTAAAAATAGAGTAAATTAATAGTAAGTATACTCTGATAAAATGCCAGTAACTATCACAATACTATTTACTTGATAGAAACCTACATTCCAATAAGAATACATAACAACATTAACATTATAATACCTAATAAGATAATTTTATTATCCAGTAACTTGACACTGATCTGCTCTTATTGTTGTCCACTGCTACTCCCTAAACTCAAATCACTCAATGCTACCAGAACTTCTGTCTGTGTTGTCTGAACTCGAAAGTCTTCACCTTTGTCACCATTCAATCTGTCTTTCCACATACAGCCAAAAGTCATTAATCCGGACCTTAAAGCTACAAACTTTCTGTGCATGCGCGTAATACCTTTACGTGTGCACATGCGCATAATACGTTTACGCATGCACATGCGCATAATACGTTTACGCATGCGCGTTTAATGTCTAACGGACGGTATAAACTAAGCTAAAATTATCTAATTATCTATTTCAGTTAATGTTGCAGATTGCATTGTTCCTTAATCTTCGAATTGTTCAAGTCGTTGTGCTCACACTTAATTGAAGATGTCATTACTACCTGAAGGTTCTGAGCTGTTAAACCATGACAACTGGGATCGATGGAAAGTCGACATGAAAATGCTGTTACTACTGGATAGAAATTGTTGGAGCTTTATAGAAGACAAAGAAGAAGAATTAGATAAAAGTGCAACAAAGGCGTGAAAAGCAGGAAGTTCACACTGAGAGAGAACAGAGCCTTCACTACATTATATTACGGAATTAAAACTGAGTTCAGGCTGCTGATACAAGAATGTTCAAGTGGTAAGGAAGCATGGGAGGTTCTACAGAAGCAATTCGAACCCAAAACAAGAGCAAGGATAATTCAGTTACTGGATGAATAAATTTTTTAGTATTAGATATACGCCAAATGAAGAAATAGGATTATTCATCGCGAGGATAAGAATGACTGCAAAGAAGTTCGCTGAAGCTGGTCACAACTTGGCAGATCTTTTTAAAGGATTTCAGGCAATAAGGAGATTACCTCCGGAATACTTCGCCATTGTACAGTTGATCTATAGGTGGAAGGACGAAGATTTTACGCTGGAAAGAATTGCTGAAGAGCTGGTAAGGGAACAAAGCCGACTTCGCCAGGTAAATGCCGATTTAGAAGACAGCAAGGTAAGCATGTTTAATACTATTGATTCAAATGTAGGGAAAGATAGAGTTGAAAATAAAACTAAATCTAAGAAAAAGATGGGGAATATGAGAATAGGACCTTGTTTCAGATGTCATAAATTTGGTCACTTAATCGCTCAATGTAAAGAAAAAGTAAGTAAAAATCAGAAGTTTAAAATAGACGATAAAAATGGACAGTTTAAAGATAAAGAATTAATGTTAGTAGAAAATTATGTAACAACTACAGATAAAGGAGGTAACGCAGATAAATTTAATTGGGTCGTAGATACTGCAGCTATAACTCATTTCCGTAATAATAGAAATTTAATGACAAATTTCGAAGAAATAAACGATATACGTATGTCTTTAGCTGTAGGAAATTGTGAAAGTAAAGTACTAGGAAAGGGTACTGTCAAATTTGCAGTAAAAGTAGGCAATCGAATAAAATTGGATTGAGTTAGATAATGTGTTGTATAATCCAAATCTAAGAAGAAATTTATTATCGGGAGCAAGGTTAGAAAAGGCAGGTGCTCATTTTGTGATTTCAAAAGGGAAGATGTGGATATACTTTAATAATTGGGATAGACTATGCTACGCTAAACGATATGATGGACTTTATCATGTAAAACCATTTAGATATGCAACAAATAAAAGAGAAGCTGGTTACGGTACAGAAATTGGAAAGTTAAATAAAGTAGACGATGCAATGCTATGGCATCGGAGATTTAGCCAGTAAATTTTGATTATATTAAGAAAAAACTAGTAAGAATCAAGCGTGAAAAGGTTACCAAAATTGGAAAACCAATGGAGAGGTGCGAACCATGTATATTGCTAATCTAGTAGAATAACTTTTAAAACTGTTCCGAAAAGATCGGATTAAACCCATTGCAGTTGGTTTATTTTTAGACGTTTGTGCCCCACTACCAGTTCCATCTAAGGGTGGGAGTAAATATTTTCTTGCTATTGTAGAAGACTATACTAGATTAGTAACAGTGTATTGTATGAAAAATAAAAATGAATCATTCTACAACTTTAAGAATTATCATAGGCAAATGGAAAGACTGATGAATAGAAAAATTAATAAGTATACACACCGATAACGGTGGGGAGTTCTGTAACAGGCAATTCAAAGGGTACCTAGCCGAAAATGGAATTAGTATTGAACGCACAAACGCGTACACCCCAGATGAGAACGGTGCGTGTGAACGTTTTAACCGAACGGCATTAGATGCAGTTAAAGCTATGCTTAATGATGGTAAAATGGGAAAAGAATGGTGGGCAGAAGCTCTTGGCTGTTTCATACATATGTGAAACAGAGTATGTCATAAAAGCAACCGAAACCCTTATGAATGTTCCTAAATAGAAAACCCAGTGTTGTTTATTTTAAAATATTTGGTTATAAAGCCTATGTTGGCATGCCAAAACAGATTAGAAATAAATTTCAAATGAGGTGCAAAGAAGGAATCATGATAGGATATGCGAAAGAAATGAGGGGTTATAAGATATGGCTGCCAGAACAACGCAGATTAATAGAAACCTGTAATGTGAAGTTCGATGAAAAACTGTATGCAGCAAATGGCATCCTGGAACAGAAATCAAAACCTAAATTTAAAAGACTAGAGGAATCTGAGCTATTACCAGAATCAGATGAAGAACAGGAAATTTCTAGAGAAGAAATAAAGTTGTCAGATGACAAATCTACTCTGAAAGAAGTATCAGACTTAAACTGGCAAAGAAAAGCAGTTAAAAGGCCAGATGGAACACGTACAGACATATTTATTATGTAGAGGGAACAGACACCCATTTTAGATCCTATAATGATATTGAAAAGTATTGTGAGGCAAGAAATTATTAAATTTGAAAAAGATAAGTTCGATTTTAGTGGAAAAAAACGAATGCTCGGGGAAAGGTTAATTTTGTAGAACAGGAGACTAGCTTTGTGTCTGAAGAGGTAAATTCCGTAGAAATTGTTATCCCACAAAATTTTAAAGAAGCACGAATAATCAGTAAATGCCGAAGAATGGGATAAGGCAATGAAAGAAAAATTGACACAATGAAGAAAAGAAAGGTTTGGGAATTAGTCGAAAAGTCAGAAAACTAAAACTATGATAGGAAACAAATGGGTCTATACGCTAAAAAGAAATGAAAAGAATTCAAGTGGTTAGATACAAAGCACGTTTAGTAGCACAGGGATTCAGGCCGAAAAGAGGTGAAGATTTTTGATGACGTTTACAGTCCTGTAGTAAATTTTTCAATCATAAGAATACTTTTCCCTATCCTGGTATGTTATATGGATGGACTAATTGTCAGTTAGATGTAAAGAACGCATATTTATATGCAAACCTAAATGAGAAAATATATATGACCCAACCAGAGGGATTTATTCGAAGAGAAAAATAAAGTGTGTTTATTACACAAAGGCTACATTTACGAGTCTACATCAAAGCGCCCCGTGAAAGGTTTTGTGAATTTGAAATCTACATTTAGAGAAATCTACATTTTAAGAAAATACAATGGTGTAATTGTGTTTATAAGAGTTCAAATGTAATTTCTCTTGTTATATATTAATTGTTATATGTAGATGATATTGTGATTTTTAGTAAAGATCAATATAAGTATAGATAAAGTAATTTCACAGCTGAGTAAGTTTTCTTTTTGATCTTAAAGTATTAGGCAAAACTAAAACGTTACTACTTGAATTGAATTCTTAGAGAATGAGAATGGGGTTTTTATACATCAAAAATATATCGACGAAATTTTTGAAAAATTTAAACATTTCCAGATACCAATAACTTTACTTCCCATAGCTAAAGGCACTATTCTTACAAAATTAGATTGTCCATCTACAAGTGCAGAAATTGCGGAAATGCATACATTACCCTTTAGAAATCTGTTAGGATGTTTAGTTTTTGTAGCCAGCAGGACAAGGCCTGACATTACATATGCAGTGAATATCTTATCACAATTTCAGGAGAATCCTGGAATTAGGCATTGGGAAGCATTGTTGAAATTGCTTGGTTATCTCAATAGTACTAAATTATATAAGTTAAACTTATCGAAGATTAAACATCTAAATTTATATGTTATTCAGATGCTGATTATGCAAGTAATAGAGATGATGCGAGGGGCGTGTCCATGGGAGGTTTATTTATATTTAGATTTAGATGAAGTACCGGTTAATCTGGAAAACTGTAATTAACAAAAGTGTGTAAGTTTATCAACCATGGAAGCGGAGTATATCGCCTTATCTGTCTGAAGCAGCGAAGGAATTAATGTGGACGAAAAATGTCTTACAAGATGAAATTTTTAAATTTTAATTTCAGAGAGTGTAAAACTTTTTTGTGATAACAAGTCTGCCATTTTTTTCTAGATCGCCAATAGAAAATCGCCGAACTAAGCACATAGACATATAATATCACTTTGTTAGAAGACTAGTAAATGATGGAGTGTTTGACCTTGAATTTATCACCAGTAAATTAAATACTGCCGACTTATTTACAAAAGCAGCGACTGCTGTTAATTTAAGGAAGTTTTGTTTAGATGTTTTCAGTGTTTAAAGACAATAAGTGTTTTCGTATAATAGAATTGAACTATGAACTTCTGTAATTCTGTGTAAGTTTTGTTTTTGTCTTTGCATGAGGAAAAGAGGGCTGTTTGTTGGCTTTAAGTTTTCCTCATGCAAATTTTGATCGGAGGTCAATCCGCAGTAAGCTAACGTGGTTGCCGCTGATTGGCCGATGACGTCAAGATAGGCGGGTTGGCCGAGTATTATGTATATGTACGCCGGTATCAGCGAATGTCTTGTGTTATTATGAGTTAGCATAATGCTAGTTTGCTTTCAATCAAATGATTTTAAATGTAAAGGCTACAGTGTTAGCTTATTTTATTTTAATTTACGGAATAAAGCATGAATTTTATTTAGATTAGTCTTAGTTTTATTTAAGGGAAGCAAAATATGCTTTGCCTTTATCTACACTCCCAACATTTTTTACATTTTTTTACAAACTAAATCGTCAGAAAAAATTAAAAAATAAACATTTATGTAAATTTTCTATAGCAGTGAAAGTATAAGTACCTACATAATAAGCACGTTTGACACTTGTATGACACTTGATAAAATAAATATGGCCAGGGCACATTGCTTTTTTGCTTTCACTTAGAATAGCAAGGATTGTATAGAATAATTCTAAAAAATAGTCTTGAATGTTCTATTTCTAAAACACCTAAGTCACCTTTTTCTACAGATCTGCTGCTAGCTCAATACAGAATACTGTAATTCAATCAGAAGTATCATAACTGAAAATTAAAAATTTTTCTAAATGAATTCTAGCCCATACAAATGAAACTCAATTTATTTCCTAATGACAATACAAGACTTCACAAATCTAAATATTTCTACTTCACAGGTTAATCACAAATCTTGTGCTAGTGCTAAAGTATCCTTACAAATTTGTTTTCATTAGGTTACATTATGTTATTTAATTACGGCAAAGCCTCGAGGGCTATCTGCCTAAGGGGAGGGATGCCTTCGTGGAAGACTTACTAAGAGAAACTGGCTCATACACACATTACACATGGGGAAAACCACAAAAAAAAAAAAAAAAAAAAAAAAACGCATGCAGCCAGCCCGTTCGCGGGATTCGAACCTCGGACCAAACTACCAGTGTTCAGCAACTTTACAGCTCGGCCGCTAGTGGGGCCTTTTGTTTTCATTAGGAGAAAACTGTCATTAATCATTCTCTATATTTTGTGACATTAAGATAGGAAAAAATAGTGTACTGTTTTTGTTATACCGAAATCTCAGCATTTAAAAAATTGCATAAAATCTCCTCAAAAACAAATATGGACTAAATTTACATTATAAGTTTTGTTATGATAAATATTAATAAAATTGTTATATTAAAAATTATTAATGAATGATAAATAGAAATTACTACAAAATTACTGATAAGGGACTAGAGGATGAAACAGCATTATTTTCAGCAGAGAACAAAATGAATTAGGACATTACTCAAGTATGAAGGAAGAAATCTCCCCTCCCCCATTGCTTAAAATATTTTTCTTATTGTTTTCTTCTTTGTAGGGTTCTAATAAAAATGTAACATGTTTATTTTTAAAAGCACCACATAACAAAATTTGCTAGAGTTTGAAATCCTACTTTATTTCTTTCATTTCTTAAAGTGGAATCCTGTGCGAACTTATGAATCCCTTATGACATATTTAGTCATGTGATCTTTCTTAGACACATTCTTAGTATATATGACTAAATATCTAAAAAACATTCTAAAAAAGACATGGCAACTGGCAACCAAGTTACAGGTATTTAAAACCCTATCCAGTTTTAAATTATAGATTCCCATTACTTACCTTTGAAATCAACTTCTCCATTGCCATCGGTATCAAATATATCAATTACACGCTGTACCAATGGATTCTGTTGCAATTCTGGTAAAGACATAAATTCATCAACACTGAGAGATCCAGAATTATCCAAATCCAGTTTGCGAAACCTCTTTCCCAGACGTTTGATTTCATCTGGGTCAACTATCAATATATTAAATATGAATTGTAATACTTATCATTAAAATTAAGAAATTAGTATAAACAGAGCTAATAAGGAGACATTATATGAAATGAAGGAATAAAAACTTTTATGATGCATAAAGAATACTCACAGGTTGAACACATTTCCATCGGAGAAGTTTCATTTCCCTACAAGAAAATTACATAGTGTTGAGAAACTGATATACAATGAAGACAATTTATACTTCATTCATTTCATAACATAAAATTAAAGCATTATCTTTTAAGCTTCACAAACATATTTTTTTACAACTTTTTAGGTTTAAAAAAAGTTTTTTTTCTTGTATTGCAAATTAATAAAAAAGAAACCATAAACTGGCGAAAACTTTGGTAAAATTGGCTCATTTAATCATCGAGCTTTCACAGATTTGGGATTATTTCTGCACAACCCACATATTTGATTTTAATGAGTCTCCCGCCACAGCAAATATCATCTGTAAAAAGAGTTTTTTAGGCACGTTTAATCATATTTTATTTAAAAAATTTTGTGTAGCCATGTCCTTTAGTCATGCCATGCTTCGCATTAACTTGACGTACAAGTTCAATCTTTGGATGCCGCATGATCTGACTTAAGCAGATAAGGACAGACGTGTTACACTAATCTGCTCGAATATCAATGCTAGGATAAAATTCTAGACTAGATCATCACTTGTGATGAAAAGTGGATTTACTTTAACAGCAAAGGCAGAAAAAGGGGGCCTTGGTCTGCACCCAGTAAACCCTTCGGCAGTGTCGCAAAGTGCAATTTGACTAACAAAAAGATGATGCTTTGTACCTGGTGGGACTACCATGGTATTATCCACAAAGAGTATCTGGGAAAAGGGAAAACTCTTCACAGTAAGGTTTACAGCGACATGCTAGTCCATGTTGATGCTGCTATCAAAGAAAAACGTCAAACTGAGTTGGGAGCACAAAAAAGCAATGTTCCATTAAGATAATGCAAGATCACATGTGCCAGCATTCACCCACTGGACTCTGTATGGACTCTAATGGGATCTTTTGCCACACCCACCATATAGCCCCAACATTGCTTCTTTGAACTTCTACCTTTTTTCACACCTGCAGCTACATCTTGCTGGTGCTATTTTCCATTCTGCACAGGACATCCGAAATGAGGTTGGTCTATTTTTGGACTCATGGCCACCAAGTTTCTGAGCCGAAGGCTTTGAAAAACTACCAAAATATTGGCAGAAAATCATGGACCAAAATGTTGGCAGCAAGTCATAGATTTAAGTGGTAATTACTATCCACACTAAAGGTACTGCTTTCATGTTTTCCCCCTTACATTTTTTGGCATTTTTGAACATTTTTTTGGCGGAAAACTTTCATTACAACCAGATATACACTTTACTTTAAATTACATCATTTACAGTACGAAGTCCGAGACTCATCGGGACTTAAGTGATTCTGCAATTTTCCAGATTTTAGATCACCACTTGTCTAATAAGATGACATGCAGATTTATAAAATTAAAAAATAAGTATAAAAAGATGGCATGCAGATTTATAAAATTAAAAATCTGAATTAATTTAGGAAATAATAAAGGCATTTATGACCATTAATTTTTAAAAAACTCTCAAGCTTTGTTTAACTTTTCTTTCTTTGTAATTTGCTTAAAATGCTTTATTTTCTGTGCTAATACTTTCTCTTTAATTTCATAGATAAATACAATTTCTCATTCAGCTACAAAGTTCTAAATACACTGTTGAGATTTCCAATTAAACTGTCAATCAAAATTTTTTGAACAACATACCTGTCACTCTCTTCATTATCTGCAAAGATTTTTTCTGGATTTGGAACCATACTACAAATTTTGTTGTTCATCAGTTGACTGATTATCAGAGAACTATCATTGCAAAGGACTACTTCTGTTATATCACCTTCATTTATAATGACTTCTCCACATTTCCACACAGATTCCATAATTGGAAAATTTTGCTTTTTGTTTGGGATACCCAAAAACATCAAATTCACGACCAGAACCGCCCGAAAACGGCCGGGATTGTAATCTTGTTTTCTTCCCTCTCCCTAAGGTATGCAGTAGCAGGTGCAGTTTCCTCAAATGCATTGTGTCAGTTTACTACAGACAGCTTGTCCTAAGAGGTTTCTTATCTTTTGCTTGTTCGTGACATTTTGTTGTTGATTCTTTTGTGGTACAGTGTGCTTTTAAGCTTAAAACAGCAATAAAATTGGAGTTTAAAAATTTAAGGATTACATTTATTTTTAATCACTTTATTCCTTCCTATAAAAATAATGGAAATAAACAAAATCCAAGTCGTGATCATAAGCCTAGAAAAGCTTGTTGGTCTGACCTTCAGAATAGTTTTAAAAAGAACAGGGTCAAAGGCTAATGGAATCTTTGTTAGAAAGTACAAAGGATGTCATTCGAAATCTTCCACCTATTTTCTGCATTAATGGACGGGGAGGGGAGGAAATTCCTGTGAAACTGGAAAAGTATTTCGGGCGGTTCAGTATTTTGAGGATACAGTTTAGTGAAGGGTCTGGATTTCAAAGAGTTAACATCGAAACATCGCTGACTTCATCTAGTGATGCCAAGCCAAAGCAATGGAATGTCAGAGACTGGCAAAATGTGATGTTTAATGATGAATCCCTGTTCGTTTGGGGAGAAGAGATAATAACCGCATGCGAGTGTAGAGGCACCCTGGTGAATGGTCCAATTCAACCAATGCTTTCACACTACAAACTGCTGGGGGGTCATAGTCTTATGATTGCCAGTCCACTCTAAATGTGGAACCTTAATGGTATAGTGTTATATTGATGACATTCTCTGACTCCACATGGGACCTTCCCTAAATGGTCTTCAAGAGTCAGTTTTACAGCACGATAATGCTCCTCTGCATACAGATCAAGTTGCTCTACATATTCTGTCATGTTTAGACTCTTCGATGGCTTGAACTGTCTCTTCAGAACATGCGTGGAACTCGCTCCCTGTAACTGTCTCTTACAGAACATTTGTGGAACTAGCTGAAATGCCAGATGCTGCCGTATCACTCTGTACACGATTTGGAGGTGGCTGTTCGATATTTATGGACATCAAACAACATTCATCTCAGAACAACATCAAATATCTAATCAACTCAATACCCGATCATGTTCTGCCATGCATTGCAACAGGAAACGGTTAGATGTGCTACTGAAGCTACACTGCATTTGTCTACTTTTACTGCACTGCATTTGTTTAACTGTCTTGATTCTAAGATCAAGTTAATCACTCATCAGTATCATAATATGTATTAAATTTCATTTCAATCTGATGCTCCTTTCTTGGTGCACTATTTTCAGTATTCTTGAATATACATAAAATTTCCAAGCCATATAAAGACTTACAGATTTTCTTTGGATATTATAGTACATATGGTTTAATTTACAATATTAAAATTCATTTTCAGAATTAACTCCAATTGTCAAGTAAAATCAAAAATATTTTAAACAAGTAAAATAAAAATATATTAAGGAGCATTGTTAATTTAGAAAATGTTAAATAATTAAATAAGTTAAAAATTAGTTTAATTTATCTTTGCGGTAGCTGTAGATATTTGTCTCTTGGTAGACATCAGTCCTATGCATGCCTTTTTAGTTACCGTCTTTCAGCAGATTTTTATTTTTACTTAAGCTGACAAAAATACAAACATTATCATAGCAAATCTTTATGTCCAAAAATTAAAAGTGTTCTCCCAAGTTTCTTAATCAAATAAAAAATAATGTATCAAATTTATGAAATGGCAACAAATTTTAAATAATTTTTGATATTCTTTTGATGCAACATATTTAATGACCACTAAACAACCACTGACATCAGTGAACTTCATTTTTTTTTCAAATACATGTTGCATTTGAAAACAGAATACTTCCTCCTTTTTTTTTTCTTTCAGTTTTAGTTCAAGTTCATTTCTCTTCCAAGACTTTTCATTTTTTCAAATTTGATCTACACTTTTTTAAAGATTTTAGCAAAGTTTGATAGTCTACATTTTGTAAAATTATATCCTCTGGTCAAGTCTAAATATATTTTCACAGTTCTTCTTGGAAAGTTACCTCTTCTTTAGCACTTACACTATTAATGAACTTAGAAAACTTCTAATAATTAATAGACTTTTACTTTAATTTTGTAGATATGCACAGTTCAGGTAGTTTGATTCTAATAACTGCACATGATTATTATTGTAATCGATTTCAGTCTAAATTAGATGCATTTTATACTCTCTGGACAAACTTCGGTATGCAAAGTTATTTTTTTTTTTTTTAGTAACACCCACCAGCAGCTGAGTGGACAAACTGTTAAACTCTAGTAAGTCAACCCGAGTTCAATTTGCAGCAAACAGGTTGGCTCCATAAGAACCTAAATTCTCCTGGTTTGCCCTGTGTAATGTAAATAGGTTTGCCCATGTGGAAGGTCGTAGACCAAGGCATTCCTTCCTCACGCAGATAATCTTCACGTGCCTTTTTTTAACCAATAATCCAATCTATTCAATAACAAATTTTTTTGGGCTCGTGTTTAAAATTTTGAAAGCGGAGCAATACTTTTTGTCTTGTTTATTAACTTTACATCACATTTTACAATTGTGAACTAATTTTTAAGAAACTGTACATAAAATCATGGATTCAAATTAATAAAGATTTCCAAATTTTGCATACAATCAAACCTTTCTATGATAACCACCCAGATGATTTTGTTCAACTGAGAAGATGTTTCTTTTGGAGAAGTACATACTTGATTCCTACAACATTTGATGAGTAGTACAGCTCAGTTTCACAGTGAAAATATTTAAATCACATAGAAGTTTTATAACTGTTATACTTTTAAACTATTTTTAAAAATTTAAATGATTATAAACCCTCAATCAATGCCCCATTTTGAATGATGCCCACCTGCAGTGCAGGTCTTGCAGGTGATAAAAGTCAAAATTATTAAAAAAATCATTTGCATTTTGCAGTAAGGGTTATATGATATTCAGAAGACATAAAATCGGTAATAACTTTGATAGAATATTTCACTTTGAGATGCATGCCATGCGATTAGGTGGCTATGGAGCCAAATTATTCATCATACAGATTTATGCTAATAAATAATATAGTGTTTTTTCAGCAGGAGGTGTTTTACTTAACGCCAG